CCTCTTTCTGCTTTGTTTCTCCTGTTTAGAAATCTGAAGTGGTAATTCAGGTATTTTGGCAATTTGGTGAAATGAAAATTGCATCAGCAGCTACAAGGGGCTATCAAACTTGAACACTCACTTTGCAGACAGCTGTGTTTATACACAGCCTTTCAGATCTCTCTCAGCTGTTTTCCAGGATGTCCGCTGCCTTGTGCTGCATCCACTGAAATACAACGTGCAAAAACGTCTTGTTTGCTCCTTGCCTTTCTGCACCTTTCACCCTGAGAAAATGTGTTTGAGTTGGGGAGGAGCAAGAAGAAATAATATTTAACTGTGTGAAAGTTATTGTACTAATTCCTGAGACAGACTCTAAAGCCATTGTCTTAGTCAATAAAATTCACATTTGTTTTCTGTGGATTAAAGATTTTGTTGAAACAATTAGATCCCTTTTACCTCCTCCAGGCTAGAAAAGACTTCTTTACTTGACATGGACATTTCCGTCCATGGACAGTCTGTACATGGACATTTCAGATATCAGATACTCTTGTCAAACAGGAACGCACCTTTCTCTCCGTTTGTTGGCTATTTTGTGTAGCATTTAGCCAGGACGTTCTCTGTGTCGTGCGGGCATAGCTACCAGAACTGAATGATTTAGTAATGGGGCCGGGAATCCACTTCATCACAAACATCACCAGCAGAGGAAGCTAAAGCTAAAAGCCAGTTGTTTTCCGTCTTTAAATAACCGGCATGTGCAAACGTATGTCAGGAATCCATTTAGCAAAGAAACATTTATTCACCTAGGTCCGGTATCTTACCGCTCCAAGATTTGAAACAACAGGATTTTCCCAGTCTACTTGCCCTTTGAGTGAACTTCAGTAAAACTGTCTGACAGTTGTCTGACAGCTGTTCAATGGGTGTGCTGCTTTCACATACGGCTGTGGAGGAATAACGCAGAATTATGTGACAAAAATAGTGACTGAAAGAATTCTTAAAAACTCTCTTCCTACCAAAAAGTAAAGAAACTTGTTGCCTGATCTTAGAGTTATTACTGAGACTAAGTACAAATACTGAGGGAAGTTCGCTCCGCTCCGTGCTGCGTACTGGCTGTGAATACGCTCTTCAGTTAGTCGGTTTTGGAACATTAGGAGGTTTTAAAACCGAAAGAAATCCCATATGGCACTGGAAATTAAAGTAACTCTGGTTTGCAGACTAGGATGGTGTGCAGGTTTTTTTTTTTTTTTTTAAGGCAAAACAAAATCCTTTACTATTCTTTTCTGGTCATTTTTACTACTCTCTGCCAAATCCCTTTGAAATTTAAGGTAAATGAAATATTTGTATGGGACTCGTCAGGTGTTTAGGTAAAGATGTGAATTCAGTTGGCAAGAGTGCAGCTCTGTTAAGGTGACATTAACCCTTTTCTTCGCAAACAAGGTGAGCAATAACTAATTATGTTGCATCCCTGACAAAAATAGAGTGACAGCTCTAGCTAGTTTGCAGATAACTATTTTTTAAGGACTAGCTATGCACTTATTTGTCCATCTCTGCATAAATACTGAGAACTTGCATAAGTAATCACATTGAAGTGGTGTATATGCCTATCACCTTTAATAATGCTTATACTTTTATGCATTTGATGTTTCAGAATGAGTTTTTTAGGATAAGTATTTTTAGGCAGTGCTGAGAATACAGCTATCTGGGCACCTGGGGTTTTTTGTCCCATTGGAAATTAATGGTACTTTTGATACTGCTTTATTTCTACATCTACTATAAATAAAGCAAGCTGTAGCCTTCTTGCAATCTAGTGAAAAAAAAAAAAACCCTAATAGGGTAATAAAAGATCAAATACTGTAGGAATCAAAAAAATAAAATAGAAGAACCAATGAACTTCTTCCTAGTGTGGCACAGGAGGTGTCTCCCTGTCTCCCTGCTACAGGAGATGAAAGACAGTTTTGATAGAACACTACCATTTGAAATGTGTAAAGACTGAAACGAATATATTTTATTGTTGCTATCACAGGATAAGAAGGCTTATCTGGACATCATTCACACCTATATGGAAGTCCATGGAACTGTTCATGGGACCAGCACTATTCATATGCCCGGCTACGTGAAGAACCATGGTATACTCAGCGGACGGGATTTGCAGTTTCTGCTGAGAGAGACCAAAGTAAGTTTGGTGAGACAGACACATGGCTAAAATAGGTAAAAACAGACAGTATCCGAAAAACATGCATTTCATCTCCTATGATTAAGCTCCTAATTTTAATACATTGGAATAACAAACAGCCAAATAAAAGGTGTTTAAGTTACCTCTGTGTACTAAGAATACATTCTTCGCCATGTCCACGTTTTGTGAATTGACAGCTATTCTTAGAAAATTGACACTGCAGCCTACAATCTAGGAGAGACATTTTACAGCCAACTTGAAAAACACGGATAAACGCATTTTTTCTTTTCCTCAGCTCAGAGAGTATCATCTGAGAATGTGCTTTTGTTTTGGATCGTAAATTGAAAGTTAGGTATTGTCTGACAGCTGTTCAATGGGTGTGCTTGCTCTGCCCTGCCAATGACTTGAACCTAGAGTGACCCTACGCTCCAGGAGAGAAAAGATGAAAGGCAGACACTTCGTTCTCTGTTCGTCTCCTTCCTCTGCTCCGATTATGCAGAAGAGAGACAGAGACAGAGAGAGCGCTTTGCCTGTAGCCCCATGGTCAAGGGAACTCAAGTTAAGGGGCAGTGCATACATTTAAATAAATAAACTCGTCACCATAGTTAGAATGCTTTGTGGGCTTTTCTGTGCCATTCCCTAGTCTTTGTGGAACAATATACAGCATTGAAACACTTCAGTAGGCTGCATTTAAATAAAGTGTTTAACTTTCACTTGGTGAAAGAAATGGTTTGCATGTTTAAAATTAGCAAAATGCATGGAACCTTACCACTTGCTCCCCGTTGTTGATGGGTTTCTTGCTGTGCACTTCTGTGTAAGAACCTTTGTTTAAAAAAAAAAAAAAAAAAAAAAAAGGAGGGGAAGAAAAAAGCAAGCACCTCCCACTTATCCAACACTACTTCAGAGATCTCATTTTTGAAATATTTGGGAAAAAATGGTAATTTAAAGTCTCTGCGTGACAGCTGTTGGCAAATTATGACTTTTTGCAGGCAACCACTGTGTGTATGTACTTGATGCATAGAGACACACATAATGTTGCAGTTAAAAAGGTCAACATTTACTTTTATCATAGACATAACTGAGACTACCCAGCTTTCGCCTGTGTGGAGAATGAAATCACTGTGTTAATCATAGTACTAACGTGGGTAGAATATTGACATTGTAAGAACCCCAAGTACAAACAGTGACTTCTTTCTGAGAAAATGCGTTTTATTCATTGGAATAGTAAAATAAGCCGATGAACTTCCTATAATATTGCTGATGTCCTTGTAATTTGCGAAGTACAGCTTGCAATACTGGTTACGTTTGAATAACAGTGTTCGTCTCTAATTCTTCCTCAGCTCTCTCTTTATTATACTAAACATACATATTACGCAGCTCAGCACAGTGCTTACAGAGCTACATGGGTTTGGGCAAGTAGCCGTTCCAGTTTAACTCCACACTTGGACTAATACACCTAAAAAAGAACACTAAAAAAAAAAATTAAAAAATGTTTTTATCCAGTCAATCATAAAAGAACAGTTCCTGAGGTTGAATTGCAAAAGTAAGTGAAGTTTTTCACAAAAATCAAGCTGGCTTGAACAGGAGCTTTGTAGCCAGAGCAGCTTTGTGCATGCGTGCAGATGCATCCGTGATGTTCCAGGACACTGGTAGAAAATGTTATCTCTTTTTAATCATAATCACTTTAATCACTAGGCAACGTGACCAAATCCCTTTAATGAATTTAGTTATGGGGATTTTTTGTCACTAGACAATCAGTGTCCTGATGAAAGGATGTGAATAGTAGGAGCTGTAACTCACTGATGATAACATCTGTGTCTACGGGGCTCACTTGAACCATCCAGGCCTGCTGTTTGCTGTCTCTAAGCAACAAACTTTGTCTTTAAGCGTCCAGAAACATCAGATTTGTCTTTTTCTAAACAAAAATTTTCAAACTCAAGGGCAGGGATTGTCTTGCATTGCTTGTGATTTCAACGTTGTATTAGCAAGTTTTTGTCACTTGTCAACTGATCTAGTCATTAGAAGTCAGAGCTAAATGGTAATTACCAAATCACCCATTGCAAGGTACTCACAGGTGTCAGTTTACTTTATACTGCTATAGTTTGCCCTTAGACAGCAAAATAGCAATAGGTAACACTAAATTATGATTCTCAGTCAGAGCTTTGCATTCCCAAAATGCACTTGATCTCCCTGAAGTAGTTGATACTGGACGCGATTATTCTCAAAAACACCCAGGCACAATTTTGTCCTAATGTCTGTATGAAGCAACGCGTTTCAGAGTAAGTGTGTTTTCCAAACAGGAGGGGGCTGTTTTATATTCGTCGTGGCTAGTTCAGCTGTGTAGTGCGTGACAAAAACTAGGCATGTCAACAGTTTCTAATGAGAAGATGTAAACCCATTCATCACGTCAGAGGAAAATAGGGTAGGCGAGCTGGCGGCCTTCCTGCCAACTTACTTGGCTTCTTGCCAAGTGGGCAGCTGGAGGACTTGGACCAGACTATCGTGGAAGAACCAGTTCTGAATTTTTGAGAAATACTCTTTCTTTAGAGAAAGTTTGGATAGAACTTTTTACTTCAATTCACGGTCCATTTTTGAGAAAATGCATTTTTTGCTAGTAAAAGGAATTTACAGTTTCTAAATGGTGATTAATAAAACTAGGCACAATATCTTGATTAGATGGTTTCAGGCAAATCCTATTCCAATGTTGGAAAAGCAGAAATAGGTAAATGCACTTCTATTTTTTTCATGTTGCCTTTTATAAAGTAATATACTTTCTAATTCCACACACTTCGCAAGAGCAGCGGAATAGTCTTTTAACTGTAGTGAATCTATTCGAAAAATATTTTGGTCACAAAAGGACTGACTTTTTCAAAAAAGCATTTTATATTCATGAGGAAGATATATCAAAATTGCTCACAATAGTCTTTGCCACCCTCTCCTTTCTGTAGTTAGGAAAAGAATATATAAAATAGTTCAGTAAGGAGGCATACAAAAATGGTGATAAACCTACCAACCCTAAAGAATAAATGAGATAAAATGTGTTAATGTAAGAAAGCGGAGAGGAAAGATAAACACTCTTGTTTATGGGACGATAGCCCTTAGAGTAGTGTCTGGAACATGAAAGCTTTCTCTTAAATATTAGCTTTCTCTTAAATGTGCAGCCAGTATGAACTATGCAGTCAGTGAAGTCAAACTTGTGGCTGGTGCCACAAACTCCACCAATAAATTGGCTAGTGTTGGCTGAAAGTCAGTGGGTTTCAAAAAAAAAAAAGGGAAAAAGTGGTGCTAAGGGGTTGCCGTTGCAGAGAAGGGAATGGGCACACTGTAATCAGAAAAGACCGATGTTGTGGCTGGTGCGATAGTGGGCGGCCACCTCAAAAGCCTGGAACGCCATAACAGGGGTTTGATTCACTGTAAAGGCAGAAAAGGTTCCTGGGGAGCCTTTCTTAACGGAAACTGAAGTATTCCTGCTTCAGGGTTTGAATACCTGCTTTATTTATTTAAGTTGGGCATGTGAGACTGCAGGCACAAAACCTTTTTTTGATTCATGCAGACCTGCGAACGTGAAGGCACCAGGGCAGTAGGCCGTACAAACAGGAAAGTGGCTTTCAAAAAAAAAAAAAAAAAGGCTGTTACCAATAATCGTTTTACATCTGTATTTGTTTGCTGTTATCTACTGTAGATGTACTTTTATGCTCTAAGCTCCTCCTGGCAACGATCTTGTTATATGTGGCTTTAGCATACAGAACCTACTGTGGCGTGTGCCCACTTAAAACTCTGTAGGAATAATGATGGGTCTGGCTTTCAGAAACATTTTTAAGTTGAGCAAAGTGCTCATATACTGCATGAAATGGCTTCAAGCAGTCATCTACGGGTAGAGTATAAAAGAACGCTACTCTGCATAGCAATTCCGCTGCCGCTAACAAAGCGAGGTAAGGGCTAACGTTTTGAACCCTGAGTGCCGGCAATTACGTTATGATGTTCAAATTTGGGAGTTTTGCAGTGTAGATCTTAAACCGTAGTGTACCAGAAGCTGCAGACTGTGGTGTCCGGCACAGCACCGAGGAACAGGGTGCCCTAAAAGCCAGAGTCCGCAGCGTTTTGTGGAGGCAGCAGTGCACGCTAAGTGAGCGTTCGTATCGGGCAGTCTGTTCCAGACCTTCGTCGTTTGGTGGGAGGGAGCCCTGTCTTCCACACAGCCTGAATCTACCCCGAGGATGGATGTTTGATTCAGTGGTACTTGAAAGTAGTTGTCAGTTTTCTATCGTTTATTCTTTATACTTTAATTTTTTTTTCCCTCTGTCAATTAGTGACATTCAGCATTTCCATTTTATACTTTTAGGAAGTGCCTTGACAGATCATTTTACCCTTTTTAGACATAAGCTGCATATAATTCAAAGGATTAGTAAATTAGAGCATCACGTGGCTGGATTAACGGAAATGTCCTACGTTCTCTAACGCTTTGCTTCCAAATCGTAATGAATGTGCCTTTCTCGGGGCAATCAAGACATTCCTCAGGCTTGCTGTTTATCCTGTTAAAAAAAAGTACTAGCTCCCTAACGAAGAAACTTTTATAAGGGCAACTTTGGGGAGCAGGGTCAAGATTGAACTTGGGAACGGCAGTGGAGCTGGTGAAGGCGATGCGATGGAGGTCTGCAGGAAGGAGGTGGGGGGGCGGCAGATCGCCGCGAGCCAGGCTGTGACGGCGGGCAGGGCCCGGCAGGCAGTGCAGGCAGAAGCGCCGTTGTAGCGATCACGTGCATCGCTCTTGCTTTCTTCAAAGGTATGGAGCTACTTAGAAGTGAGGTACTAAAATGGGTGCGAAACAGGTGGTAGGCTATTTATTATAGATTAAGAGTTGACGGTGTGCTCTGTGCTGTCACTGCACGGAAACATGTTCCTTTCCCCGTGGAGCTTCCTCCCAAATAAATGGACCAGTCAGAACAGACAAAAAACTGTTCAGGCTGCACAGCAGCGGCTTATTAAAAAAGAAAAGTGAAAAACGAAGCAAAGAAACCAGCGTTCTCTAAGTAACAGACAACGCTGGATCATAGGAGAATTGATACTTCAGATATTTTTAATTGCTAGTTCTCTGCTGGTTTTCTGCCTGAACTAAGGAGTGTTTTTAAAAAGTAGCATCCTGTGTGCAAATTGTATCAAATGATTTCAGGTCTGTAAGTGATTGTTTTCAAGAGATTACATTTCTTGAAATCACGCCTCTTTCAAGAAGAAAATTAATAAGTACTTGTTCTGATTGGAAGGTAACGTATCTTTTGCCGTATATAGTAAACGCAGTTTATGTAGCCTAGCTTTGGTTGAGATAGCGCTTCAGATCTTTTTCTGTTAGGCACTGGAGAGTTTCCTGTAAGATTTAAATCTGCAAGATAACCGAGATACGTTCTGCAAGTAGGTGACTGTTTTTAACCTGAAGATTGGTTTTAGTCTCAATACCAATATTCGTCTTCACGCAGTGAAAATTGTATGTCCTCAGAAAAGGTGAGAGGTTTTAACCGTCCAGAGTTTCCAACGTTCTCTCTCGAGGCGGGAATCTTACGCTGCTGTTGCCGTGGGTCAGAGGCTCAATGCTGCAAAGCCTACGCGCAACAAGATTGACTACAGTGTTATGCATCAACATTAAGATTATTTTAGCTTTTGCGCAGCCTCATCTAAGCTCCTGGAAAAAAACACTGATTTTCAGTTTTTTGGTACTAGGATTCACTTCCATGTTGTGGAAAACTTAATGTTGAATAGTACAGTTTGGCCTCCTCGACTACATATGTCCTGAATGCATGATCCCAGTTTTTTGAAGCTTGGTCTTTATTTTCTGGGGAAAAAAGCAACAGCTATATATATTTATGTGAAGTCATTCAGCAGTGCTGAGAAATTTGTGGCAATCATAGCTGTTATGAATCAGAGCTCTTCATTCTCTCGTTATACTCAGACTTTAAGATAAAAATAAAGAACCCTGTATTTGATACAGTGTTTTCAATTGTGCTAGGCCAGGAAAGAGGTAGAGATCTAAATAATTGCTGTGCAACTGTGACAAGCTATTACATTTCTTCACACTGGAGAAAAAGCACTGCCTTTTCTAGAGCACCTGTAATCGCATCTAATAAGAATAGCTTTGTGATGTATTTTTCCTCCTTCGATTTCCCTTGGAGCTGTTAAATCCACTTAATCTTGTGCAAGCTCTTGCTGATGAGATAGTGTCTTCAGCTGATGTTTGCTGCCACCTACCGTTTTAATTAGAAGGCTTAATCAGGTTGGCAGGAACGTGTTCATATTGGCAAACCCAACAAATGAGCTGATGTGGGAGAGAGAGGAATACAGTGGTGTAGCTGTTCAGGGAGGTAACCGCTGGAAAACCTGCTCGTCTGCAAGAGAGCCCCAGCAATTTCGTTTGAACAGCAATCAAACCACCGAATGACATTTTCCCCCCAAAAATGACTGAAAGGGTCTGTTGTTGCCTCAGCTACATGAAAAACCTTCTCAGCTCGTTACAGAAGATTATTGTCAAATCTCTTTTATGGGACATGCCAGTACTGCTGGGGAAGGAGCGGGGAGCAGCCGAATCCCTCTCAGCGTTGAGCCTGATGGTTTTCTTAATAACTTAGTTATAGAACATGATAGACTGTTACTGAGCCCTTTTCTTCTTAATGTTACGTTTTGTAGGCTTTTACCGTTAGAAGTGCATCTTTGTTTATTTTAGGTTAGCGCTTAACTTTCGATTTTTGTAAAGAACAAAAATGAAGACGGTGCTTGTTTCCTGTTTTTCAGCTGTTTGTTGGTCTCGGATTCCCGTATGAAGGGCCTGCTCCTTTAGAAGCTATTGCTAATGGATGTGCTTTTCTAAATTTAAGATTTAGCCCACCCAAAAGTAGCAAGAATACAGAATTTTTCAAAGGCAAGCCTACGCTCCGAGAGGTAAGCTTTATTAATGTTGGTAATTTCCGTATTGAAAATGATTAGGAATTTTTTTTTTTGTACCTCAGTAAAGGAAAAAACATATGCATGTTCATTGCAAAAAGTGTGCAACTGTTATTTCCTTTAGCCCTTTATGGGATTTTCAGTCCTTATTTTTATAAGATAAGCAAAATTTTTCTTTCACATACTGTTAAGCTTTAGCTCTATGCACTGTATGTGCATTCAGCTAGTTCTTATTGACAGGTCGTATACTGAAGTTTTTCACTTGAAAACCTGATGTTCTGCTCAGGAACCATGCTCATGCCATGTGATATACATGGTGCGTCAATTTGGAAGGATTTTTTTATTTTGTTGAAGAAGCAAACAGTACTGTGTGCTGTGCAGTAAGTAAAGAGGTGTTTAAGTAGATTGTAAAAAAAAAAAAAAAAAAAAAAAAAAAAAAAAACCATCTTGTGTTTTTGTGTATGTTTTCAGTTTTTTTTTTTTTTTTCCTCCAGAAAAGATCTGCTCAAGGCACTGTTGAGCTCTGGTATTAATGCTAACAACCCACTGTGTTCGTGGTTGAATACTAAATACATTTGGAGAACTGACTTTTTAAGAGAACGGGAAAACCAGAACTCAAGGTTTCAAAACAGCCAGGATATTTAGGCTCTATTAAGAGAAAAATGAGGCTAAGTAAACGAGTCCCTCGTCCTGGCTCTGACTTGGGAATGTTTATCTTCACTGTAGGTAGAATTAGGCCTGTAACGCTTGCAAGTATTTAGCAGGCACATAGCCGTTTTTGACATGAACACTTTTGCTTGTGACCAGGACTTGTTCATACAGGGGTGTGTGTGTGCACATATTACTATTGCACATGTATATGAATGAATGCTTATATGTATTTTCTTCACATACTTACCTGAAGAAAAACTCTTTGATAACATTTGGATAAAGGGACTCTCGCACAGCAGTATTTCCCCATGGCAGTGATGCTTCAGCTGTCTAAGCTGTGTACTGAGCAGCTCCAGCTAGTTGATAAGCAAAGGACAGTGTTCCTGGTTTAAAATGGGAAATAAATTACTTAGGCTTTGGCGAGCCATGGCTGTAATTGCCTTTCAGCTTGTTACACAAACAGTAGGTGCGGGTCACTGAGTGCAGACTTGTCCTTTCTCATAGTTTGACATTACTAACAAAGGAAGCAGCAATAAAAAAAAGAGAAGTCAGTTTAAATTTGGGCTTGGCATCTTTTGAAGCTTTTCTTCTCTGAGCTGCTCAATTGTTTCTCCCTTTTCCAGTTCCTCTGTGCCCTGGCACAGTAACCAGCTGGGCTCAGTAAATCACTGCAACGCCCCCAACTCTTCCCTCACAGTATTAGCGCTTGGAGTGCCAGGCTAAATCCTGCGGGCATGTGTCAGCGCTAACAGATATACTGTGCACCTGGCTGGCAGGGATAAATAACCACTGTTGACTGCTTTAGTACAAAACCTTGTCATGAGCATTCACCACGAGTACTGTTTGCTTTGTTCATGTGCTTAGCTGACCTACTCCTAAGAGCAGTCTTTTCTGCAACTGGTTCCCACCGCTGCATTTAGATCCCGTTACCAGCTGCTGCTTGCTTGGGGTTAAGAAAGTTCTGAAATCCCTTAATTTCTTCAAGTGCAAAAGGAGCACAAAAGTTTGTGCAATTCTGAGAATTGTTTGATTATCCAATTTTCCGTTTGAAGATAGAGTCTGCCAAGTATGCTACTTCTGCAAAGTAGCCTTTGGAAGTAAGTCGCTGGTTCTCTCTCGTTCTGCACAGAACTTGTGTAGAGAGAGAAAGGAAAAAAAGTTAACTGTTTCCCCCTACCCTCAAGGTTGATCCTTCAGCAAAAACTCCGCAGGAGAAGGGAAAAGGCAAATTTTCATTTTAGATCAACAGCTGTTTTGTTTTGGAACATCATACTGCTGGGGAAAGAGAGAAGTAGAGAAAAGGAGACTAACCACCATCAGACAGCTTGTTTTGTGCTGGTGTTTCATCTCTGTTTCTTAAAAAATGAAATTAAACGTTGTATGCGAAATCTAGTTAAAACATGTGGCCGTTTTTCCCCCACAGAAGTTATTTTCTGCTTTTCGGAAGAAAAAGACTCAAAATTAGAAATTAATTCAAAATTTATAGTAATTTTAATAGACTTTAAATATAGTCAGAGAGAATATCTCATGAGTGTGTAAAATATTAAGCCCTGGCTAATTAAAGCATTTCAGTGTGAGAGAAGAGCCCTACTGTTTTTTGCAAGGATATATGCAGAGTAGCTGGTGCAATAAAAATATGTTGCTAATTACCCTTAAACAGTTAATAGCCTAAGAAGTTTAATTGTTCACCTTCCAAATCTGGCTTTAGCGTTTCTGTCTGAGATCATCAGACATAATTCCTAAAGCTGAGTGGAATTTAAAATGCTGTCTATGTTCATATTGTTAGGTAGAAGTTTTTTGCTGTTATTGAAAGTGTTAGGACTGTAGCTTCCGCAGTCTAAAGTGGAGACGTGAGTACCCTGCAACCCACACATGGAAGTACGTACAGATGTAACGGCAGTGGAAATACTATCGAAAAGGCTTAAAATCTGTAGGTCTTATGGAAAGACTGGGCTTTTTGGAGGCATTTGAAGCATGCAGGTGGGAGCACAGGGCCGCGGGCTGCCGGTGAGTACAGGCAGCTGCGAGAGCTGTCCTTAAGGCAGGAGCCGGCCCGGAGGCTCTCAACGCAGGTTTATGCTAGTTGATCCCATGCGCGGTTATAGGACAGACTGCTTTTGTCCATAAACAAAATACAACAGGCAAAATGTTTTTTAAATAGTTCTTGCGCTTTTGGCTTGCATCCATTTGCACAAGGGAGCAAGCATGGTACATACCTAGTTCAAGAGAAGAGTCTGTCTAGCAGACACAGGTTTCCGCTTCAGAGCTTTTCTACTGTCTATTTTTTTTTATGTCATGAAAAAAGAGGCAGTTGTATTTAAAAAAAAAAATGTGACTTTTCCTATCTTTCTATTTATTTATTTAAAAAGCAGTTTTCTTCCGAGGCCAGCGTGAAACATACTTTTCTCTCCTGCAGTTGTTGCTTCCTGTTAGTGTGTCCATTTGCATATTTCTTGTACTTCTGCGAAAACTGTCACAAAATCTTATTTTCAGTGTTGTCCTGTTAGTTATAGAGTTTCTAGCAAGCAGTCTCCGATATAACTTGCTCTCAGTTGATGTAATTGGTTCTTTATTGAAATTATTTTGTGCCGAAGCAGCGAGCAAGATCTCAGTTAAGTTTGAATGCCGTCACTGAGGCCAAATCCGTCTTTCGCTGTTAGCGGTGAGAACCAGAATTCATCCAAGGTGATAGGAACGCTTCTTTATTCCATTCTCTTTGTAGAAGCTGAGGAACGTTTGAATTTTGACGCAGTGACAAGGCAAGGTGACGGTGACACAGGGCGAGGATGGCTTCTCCTTAAGGCCCTCATACAGGTCTAAGCAGCACTGGCAGCAATTGCAGGCTGTGAAAACTGAGGCCTGTGCTGCCAGTGAGTTTTAGCCCAGCTCTGTGGGGAAGCAGGGCCACGTTGTAAAAGTGAAAAAATTCCAGTAAGCCGTAAATATAGTGCTGGGTTTGTTGTTACGAATGGCAAAGCCACAAAATAACACAGATATTGCTTATGCTCTGCGTTATTTTCCAACTTTCAGTTTGCTGACTAAATTCACTCTCTAAACACCGAAAATCTGAACGATAGCTTAGGAGGAACGATGTTGACTGTTCAACTCTAGCTGAATTATTGCGTTATCCTCATGTACTTTATCCAACAGATCTGGTGGAGGGAGAGACAGGGAAGGACATCTTGCCACTTGTTTTTTACTGATATCATTTCCTCCTTTCAGTTGACATCTCAGCATCCCTATGCTGAAGTTTACATTGGGAAGCCTCATGTCTGGACTGTAGACATCAATGATCGTTCTGAAGTTGAGAAGGCAGTGAAAGCAATTTTGAATCAAAAGGTGAGAAAAGTGTTTGCAATCTGTAATCAACACTTGAGAGCATCGTGTGCTGCATGCAGAGTGCCGTACGATGTTAGTCTGATTAGAGCAGAGCGCTGCGCTTTGCAAGGTTATTAGAAAAAAATTTTGCTATTCCATCTCTCTGGATCTGATTATCATGATTTAGTACTGGATTTGTCAGGTTTTTACATGAAAAATTGAATGTGTGGCTATGTAGAGAGATGTGAATTTCATACGTAAATTATAGAACAATCTGTATTTTCTGTGCGTTCAGCGAGGAAGTTTCCTTGTCGATTCCTAGAGTGCTGCAGGCTCTCCAAATCTGCGCTCAACTCTTTTGACTGATTTTGTAGCCTTAACGTAACCGCTGCTTAAGTGCCTGTGCGTTTACGCTGTGGAATTCTAATGAAGACACTTTAAATAGAAAAAAAAATTTGGAAACCAGTTTGAAAGCATTTTCAAAGGTATCAAGTTTTGAGGGGGGGGCACGGGGGGGAAGGTCCATGTTTTCTTTTTTGTTTCAAATCCAGAATTGGCACTTAGTTAAAACAGAAGCTTTTGGATCAAGTAGTGTCTCAGTTTAGCTTTGTTACTTTGCGGTAAACCGTGAATTTCCATCATTTTAACATCTCCTCAGATATAATCACTGAGCAATTCCTTCCTTGCCTCTGCAAAGAAGAAGAAATCAGCTTAAACTGTTGGCTTTGTAAAATAGTGATTTGTTAATGATTATATTTGTATTTATTTTTGCCACTTAGGCTATTATGTATTATATTGTATACAAGCTGCTACCGCAGTGCACCACAAAGTTTGTTTAAACAAAATATTCTAACCTAAGTACACGATGTTTCAACAGATTGACCCTTATTTACCCTACGAGTTTACGTGTGAGGGAATGCTGCAGAGGATGAATGCGTTTATCGAAAGACAGGTATGAGCTTTGAACGTGGGTGTTGATGTGTTTTTTGTTCTGTGTTGAGAAGGGAGGGCTCGCTCTGTTTTAGAGCTTCTGGATATTGTTGTTGTTCAAACCGAAATAGCTAACGCGTGCAGGCCTTGGCTAGGCGGTTGTTTGCTCAGAGGAAGTTCAGCTGGTGATCCACGTGGATGCAGAGAGCCGCTTCTGCGTGGGGCTCCTACCAGGGACCGCCCTGACGGCATGTTTCAGCGCGTGTGATGGAAATGCACGGGAGACTGCCCAGCAGTGAAGTGAGAGCGCTGAGCGCCAGAATACTCGTTCTGGTTCTGCTGCTCGGTTTGACTCTGGGTTCTGATTCATCTGGGAGCTTATGGCTCATCATACTTCTTTGCAAAAATAGATACACTTTACTTGTATTTCAGGAGCTATAGGATTTTTTTTTCTCTTTGCAAAGAACCTTCCTTCTTCTAATGTTATGTTGAAGCAGAAAGGCAAGTTTTCAGTGGATTTTTTTTGTGTGTTCACACAAAATGTTTGAATCCTGAAATATGACATAAGTATAGAGATACTTTTGTGGTAGAATTGCACTTAAACTAAAGCCTCTGGGTGGATTTTCAAGTATTTAACTTCAATCAATAAAGCTTTAAATGGTTTGGAAACCAGTTACTTAAATGACTGTTGTTCCCTTTGCATTATTACCACAGTTTAGCTCAGCTGAAGGTATTGAGATGGAGTAATAAAGTGGAGAGATTTGCATGGGATCCTAATTTCTGGAAGCTATATGTTTGCTTGGACTTCTTCCGAAGGCCAGCTCTGTTGCAAAGGTCAATTTTTCACCTTTTGTTCTGGCTTCTGCAGGAGAGAAAAGCAGGAATAGTCTTTCTCTGTTATGCCAGTTAACTTCCAGGATAGCACCGGATGGGCTCCTGAGCCTGTATTTTTGAAAGCTGACAGCATTACAGACAGTAATAAAGAGTAACATAGCTTCAGTTCAAAAGCATAGTTGACATAACATAGTTATTTCAGATTTTCTGCCAATAGATACTTGATGGTTTTTGCTGCTGTGTGGATAATTCAGCCTGTATCTCTGCTCCTTTTGATTCTTCTGAGTTAGCTGTAATTGCGAGTTTTTTTTGTCAATACGGGAAAAAACGGAGCTCGGTATAGGGGAGATGAAGTGACAATATAGAGATAGTGTCTTCGGGGCAAAACTGTTCCTTCCCTCCTCCCCAAGAGTGCTATGTCCCAGCTGCTACTGAGCGCTTCCAGAAATAAATGTAGCATAATTTTGTTCATTGTTTTGACTAATTGTCAAAAGCCGTTATTGTTTCACAGCCACCAGGATGCTCGTTATTAGCTCCGTTTGCTTAGCGCTGTGCCTGATGCACTGGATGAGGCAGAAAACAAAGATTCAGACCTCACTCTGAAGAATGTGCAGTCGGAGGCAGGCAGAAGAGAGAGAGAGAGGAGCACAAGCTCGGAGCAGGAGCAAAGATGGATGGAGTTGGTTGTGTTATTCAGAGCCTGCGGGGTACATTAACCAAGGGAGGGTGGTCCCCAAGGGGATTTTGAATGTGAAGAGGATGGGGGCCAGATATATTAGTGCAGACATCGTCCTATGGCATAAGGAAACTGCAGGATTGAAGGGAGTTGTCCGCAGTTCCCCTTCGGGTGCCTGGGCTCCGGATCAGCATGGAGGGCAGTGTCCAGGGAGCGCCCTGAATCTTCACATCCTACAAGTTGGGCCAAACTTAACGATCTTTAGGCTCTGAAGTAAGAGAGGTTGCCGTGAGCTGTGGTTTCCTGTTCAGCAGCAGCGCCCCACTGAGCTGGATAAAGCAGTTTTCGCTCCAGGCGTGCCTGCCTGCCACGGGCCCGCCTGTCCCCGTGACCTACTGAATCCGCTCCCTGTCCTGCTTGCTCCGCGCCTGCTCCAGCAGTTGTGTCAGCCCTGCGGAGCAGCAGCTCAGCGTAGGAACAGGATCCCCCGTTGCAAACTCGGAGCTGTTGGATGAGACGGACTGGGCTGATCCAACAGGCACGCTGGCTTTGCAAGATGTGCTCAAGCAGGGTGCTCGGTAACCCGGCAGAAAAGAGTGTTGCCTGGGATCCACTGGGTCACGGCAGGGAAGGGCCGTGGGGGCAGGACGCTCGGGCAAGGGCAGGAACAGCCCGAGGGAAGGGTGGCACATCTCCTTTCCCGGCAGCAAGCCCTCGCATGGGCTCTGCCTCTCGCGCCCAGGAGCTGAGGTCGTAGGTAAAACAAACATAAATCCAGTCTCTGGTGAAGCTTAATCTGTGGTTTTACATAAAATCTTTTCTTTATTTTATCCTTATAGCATGTAATGTTGTGGGGCAGGATGGATTTGGAAGAAGTTGCCTTTAGTGGTTGCTAGCAAAGCAACCTTTTTGAAACAACCTTGTTCAAAAATACCTCTAACCCGCTATTGTTAACCTGTCTTTGTAGAGGCTGCTGAAATTACTCTACCATAAATACTGTCATAAATTACTCAAGTTTCTTTTTTCAGATCTGAAATTGTTCTTTTTTTGTTACAGAATGCACTACCCCTAGTAAATCAATGCCACCTATTAATGAAAATCTATATGATTAAAGAATTAATTCATTTGCCTTGCGACTTCATGAGAAGTCAGTTTGTCATCTCTCTGAATTTTTTTCCACAGTTTATGCCTGAAGCACTTTTGTCTCTATGACGTTCTTATTTAGATTATCTATATGTATGTATCATATTACTTTGGTTAATCAAAATGCTATTAACTGAGAAAGCAACTCAACAAAGTAGTAATCTGCTTTTTGTCATTATATGAAAGTGTTTATCTGAACAATACTCGCATCCATAAAATGTTATGGATTAATAAGATTTAACTGTGAACTTCTGCTGTGCACTATCAAAAGTATGACAAATTACTTAGGATATTAAATTATTGTTAGACCTAGAGGTACAAAAACCTCCTTTGGCAGAGAAAATCTAAACAGGAAAAAAAAAATAACAAGAATTGGTAAACGATTTAGGGTCTCAGCTTCATTAAAATTTCAAATAGGTCAGTCTTTTTTTGCTTTAGGTCACCTTTTGGGAGCTCTATGATACAAATATTGGTTTTATCGGAAGAAAGGAAACCATGCTGCACTGGGCCCAAAGTTTTGTATGAGCTCTAGAGGAGAGTTGCAGAATACACAAGTAATGGCTGAGTGCCATGGGGTGTTAAATTTGAAAAAATTCAAATTTTATGTTCAGTTTTTCTCATTTTAAATGTCAAGACAGTGAGAACTTGTGTTTGAATAGTTTTCTCTAGCAGGTGTGTTTAGATATCGTCTCTTCCTTCCCTCCTCCTGTCGCATGCGATGCTTGGCGAGTCATTTCTCTTTCGAGTGGAGAGAGAGCCCTTTTACTAGCAGTTCCACCAAACAGGACAGACAAACTCTTTCTGAATGCCGATTGCTTTATATAAATGCTGAGTGTTTTACGAGCGCAGCTCGCTCTGGGTACCCTGATCCTTTCCAGGTGGCTACTACGGGGCCACCGGTGACGTTTCTCCCCTGCAGGGTAACTGGCCTCTGGCATCCTTCTCCTACCAGAACCTCCTCATGTTATTTGTGCTCTTCTGAAAATAGTCCTTGTAGCACTGAGTTAGTGAAACAGGACGTCACTGAGGAACCCGAAGCAGGGCTGGATATCTGTGGGTAATGAGAATTTCTAGAGTTGCTAATTATGTATTAAAAAAAAGCTATACATGGGGAAGAAACTTCTTTGGGAGTAAAGATAGTACCAGATTCGAACTGCTGATCGAAGGTGATAATTTCCCCGTGCTAAAAATATAATAAAAATATTTTGCTTAAGTTATTTTTATGCAAGCAAGATGAGTTGTGGAATGAGTGTTTGGGTTGATAGTAGTCACTGTTATTTTACTAATGGGGAAAAGTTGCTAGCGAGGGACTAGATGCATCGTAACAAAATCTGTTCTGTCCTGCAGGATTTCTGTCACGGGCAGGTGATGTGGCCCCCATTAAGTGCCCTTCAAGTGAAAACGGCTGAACCTGGAAAATCCTGTAAGCAAGTTTGTCAGGAAAACCAGCTCATCTGTGAGCCTTCCTTCTTCCAGCATCTTAACAAGGACAAAGCTCTGCTTAAGTAAGTACTTAAAAGCCTGAGCATGTTCTTTGGCTGCTCTGTGTTGCGCTGGTTTTTGCCACACGTGCAGTTTTTATGCATGAATCCTGCGAGCAGGGACGGCGCGGGGGGGAAAAGCTGCGAGCTCGGCTGTCGGCCCATGGCCGCAGCGGACGGTGGAAGCTGCTGCTGTGCGGAAAGCGCTGTTGCACTTAGCGCGTGTTAGCGCAGCGAGGGGTGCAGCCCTGAGACAGAGCCAGAAATTACATCTGTTCCTTCCCTGCTGCACCGCCTATGCGTGTGCCCTGCGCGGTGCCCTTTGACATGGGGTTGCGCTTAGCAAGATGCTGGGGCTGCAGGATCAGAGATGCCAGCGCTGTAACTGTGTTTGGATGGACTTGCAAAACTGGAGGCGCTTTGCTGCCTTGGCTGTTTGGCAAGGCTTTTGCCATGCCTTTCCGAGGACTGCTGGTGCGCTTGCATGACTTCTTACATCAATCCTAACTGTGTTTGGTAGCATGCTTGAAGAACTGGATCAAAAACGAAGTTTGCTTTGTTAAAATAAAGATAACTCTATATATATTGCATGATTTGTATCAGTTGTTCATGTAATTGTACACATACTGCTTATAAAGTGTTGCTTATCTTTTATCATTTATTCAGCTCTCTTTGGCTGTGATTCATTTGGAAACATCCATATTCTTTGGCAATTAGCAATTAGTTTCTGCAGACCTTTTGCCAGTAATGTCCTTGATTCAGGTTCCTAAAGCCTTTTGCATTAGATGCGTTACTACCGATTTATAATTCTGACCAGCTACACATTAAGGGAATTAATGTTGCTTCTAGGTGCTGCTGCTTTCAGAATAGGTCTGTGTTCATTTCAGAAAGAAAACGAAGCACTCAAAAGCTAGGCGACAACAAAATGCCCACTAGGGAATCTGCTTCCTAGGTTTTCTAACTGCCTTTTTTTTTTTTTTTTTAAATTTACTATGAGGTTGGATTTAGGGTTTTCAGTTTTGGTTACAAATGCTGTAATTTCCAGTGGAATGCAGAAGCAGCTCTCATAAATATAATTTTTTCAGGCTTCTAGCTTTTCTAGCTGTCCAGACAAAATTATATTTCTAGGGGAAAAAACTGTTGAATTCTGAAAGCTAGCAATGTTTCAAGAATAAGTGAGGGAAAAAAAAAAACCCAAACCTCTCTTGGAATTGCTACCTCCGCACTTGAGCTTTGTGGTCAGAAAATGGCAATTTGATTTTTTTTTTTTTTTTCTTTTTAAGCTGGCTGCTGCTGGCTGGTTCCTGTGAGCGCTGGGCCCCGGTGAGGGATGCGCCTCCGCTGTAGGAGAGCACCGTGGCCTCACCCTCGCGCGTTGGGCTGCCGCCGTGGGCTTGGCCTCAGAGAGATCTTTGCTGATCAGGGAGACTCTCTCTTGATCTCAGGTTCTTTGGTTTTTGTCTTGCTAGAAATCCAGATTGCATTAAAATGTTAGACTTCGGGGAGCGGTCGGAAGCATTTTTTTCTTTTTAATTTCCCCCATTAATCTTTAGCAACCAGGTTAAAGCTGAAAAGGCTGGGCTGCCCTCTGCAGAGAGAATCTGCACAGGTGAAAAGAAATGAGATGAGTATTCTGAGAAAGTGCCGCGGTCTCCGTGCACTTGATTTAGCATGTGATATAGCGTTTTATTGTACTTTTAGTGAGGAAGATAAAAACTGTACTCAACTCCTATAAACTCCACTGTGATTTAGATTGTGTGCTTTGCTTTCTAGGCATAATATTGAATGTCATACCGTCGAGTCTGCGAATGATATCGTGGTCCCCTCTTTTGACGGAAGAAGGAAGCACTGTGTTTTCCAGGGTGACCTCTTACTGTTCAGCTGTGCCGGATCCCACCCAACCCACAGAAGGATCTGCCCCTGCAGAGACTACATTAAAGGACAGGTTGCGCTTTGTAAAGACTGCCTATAGCAGCAGCAGAGCTCCTTTTGAGTTGGGGACAAGATGTGAGTAGTTTTGAGAGAAACTACTTATTACTTCCTGCACTTTTGTCCAGGTTTCTTGCTGCAGGCAGAGCGATCATTGCTGGGCGGAATTATCTACTAAGAGGAGGGATTCATAATGAACAGTTAACTGATGTTTTTTTTTTTCCTATGAGAACATTTGCAGCGTAACTCTTCAAATCCCTCCATCTGCTTGAGAAAAGAAATGAGTTTCATGTTCTACAGCGATTTGAAGGTGACTGCGCAGAATAGTTTGTAGAGAATTCCCAGACCCATCAAACTTCTTTTGCTGTTTGGGTGAAGCAAGTGTTTTCTATTTTTTTTTTTTAAAGAGTTAGAACATCTTCCATCATGGTTAGCTAACGGATCTCAACTTCTTTCCGGTAGAAAATTGAAAAAAGTGTGGTTGAGGGGAGAGGGGGTTACAGGGAGGGAGGACTAAAATTCAGTATGGTGCACTGCTTTGGGGACTGCTTTAGCTTGAGTGGCTATAAAGCGGTTTACTTCACAAGAACTTGGAATCATAAGATAGCTCTATATCCTGTGGCTGGGTTTTCTGGGCCCAGTCGTTTTTTCTTTTCTTTCTTTTTCCTTTTTTTTTTTTTTTTAAAAACTTTGTATACAGCAAGGTATTGTCTGCATCACAGCTGCTGTACCAGAGCAGTCTAAATAGCGTCGTGAATGAGCGAATAGGCAGTTGCCAGCGTTTGACCCATCTTGATGACGTGACAGCTGACTAGGGTAGTGGCACTTTTCGCTATGGAAAAGCTACAAAAACATACGGCCGTTTTCAGAATGGACTTGTCACGGTTTACTGGTCCCACTTAGAGAGTAATCCTTGGGATTTGCCCATGCTTCTGTTGTAGTCAGTCTACTAGAAATACTGCGTGAAGCAAAAAGTATTCAGCATCGTTGGAGCAATATTATTGCTAGAGCCTCAGTTTGCTACGCCTTCCAGTAGTTGAAGTGTTGCTGAATGGCACAGAAAGGTTCAACTATGCTAACTATAATTATTGTATGATAGAAATGTAAAATGTCTTCATAACTAGTTAGGTTTTTAAAGAGAAATCTCTTCTGAAGAATAGTTAAGAGAAGACAAACAACTGCTAAGAAAAGTATTGATGAGCCTTATGGGTTCTTTGGTTGTTCTTTGCTTTGGGGGAAAGGGTGGTTTTTTAACAATTCCAGAGTTTGGAGCTCAAAACAACTTTTGCTTAGAACAGCAAGTTAAATCTTCTGAAATGCCTTCTCGTTTTATAGGGGTAATTTTTGGCTTTTTTCACCATGAGGAGGCATGCTTGAACGCACCACTGGTAGTCAGGAAATGATATGCTGAAATTGGTGAGAAAGAAATCTGCAGTGTATTTTGAAAGCAGAAAAAAGGTGTATGTACTGTGATCAGACTGGAAGAAAACTCAATTTGGCATCAAGGGGTTTCTTCATGAAGATTAAAAAAAAAAAAAGTTACCAGGTGCTTTGAATAATGAAAAACATAGAAACTTTAAATTTTCTTCTCTTGGGTATATCTGGTTCCTGTTTTTCTCATAACTGGCAATCGCTATGTGTATTTTATGTGTCTCTTGACCTACCGAAAACGAAACAAGCGAAATGCTATTGAATTTTGGATAAATTCTCAAGTCAAGATAAGAGAGAAGTAGAAGAGTTTCAATTTAAAAGCAATGAATTTGCTTTTTCAAGTTTGCTTGTTTCCCGCCTCCCCGTTGCTGATAGTGGTGTACTGTGACACCCCCTAACAGTACTGTGGACGGCACAGAAACTTCACCTTGGAAGATTTTTCAGTATCCAAAAAGAATATGCAGGAACATTGGACAGTGGGGTTGTTATCAGTGACTAGGTTGTGATGAGAATAAAACCTGCTGTATTTTAGAGTAACTTTCCAAAAACGGAACAGTGGGGTTATTTAATGGGAAGCTAACTTTCTGTATGAAAAGAAAACAAGCATAGACTAGTCCAAAGCCCTTACTGGTAGCATATCTAGGCATTTTCTTCAGTCAGCACAAATGCAGTTTGTAATAGTTTTAATATCCAGGAGGAGCTGAGGGAGGAGGATTGGAAATGGATGTGAGCAGGCACAGCAATTCATTTCTTATTTGCTTAAAATGTTCTCCACCTACTTGTGCATATTTGTGCAACTGGAAAATCCCTTGCTTTAAAGAAAGGATTTACCCTTCTGCCTGGTGCTGGAAGTAAAGGCAACAACAGAATTCATCTTCGACAATTCAGCCTGAGGCTCTTCAGGCTGGAATTTAATAATTTCAAATGAGGTATCACAGAGTTACGTTGGCAACAAAGATTTGTATGTGTGCACTTACAGAATGCAAAACACGTAGTTTTTGCTGTAGTGTAATCTTTCGCTGTATATAGATATTTGCTTGTTTCCTACCACTACTATATGGACCACCTGGCAGACTACGTTTTGTTTTGCCTCTAAAACTTTAAAAGATTTGCGGGGGGGGGGGGGGGGGGT